GGCAGGGCAGGCCGCACCTTCTGTTTTCCCTTCCCGCAGGGCAGCTCTGCCCGCCAGTCGTTTTCTTGGCAGCTCAACGCCAGAGGTTCATTGCGGTGCTAAAAATAGGCCGTGTTTAGACACTCGGAGGCTCCGAGGCTCCGCCTGGAAACACCGACTGCAGTAACCAAATGTCACCATTCCCGCAAAGGGGGCCCCTGGGCCTCGCCCTTGTAGAAACTCGCGCCAGCCCTGGGAGGGGAGCGGGGTAGACGTCATCGGCCACATTCAACAGATGGGGAAACTGAGGCTTGCAGGGGTCTCTTGTAAAAGGAAGAGAAAAGAAACGATGATAGCTCTTAGCCAGCACCAACTCCACCCAGCCTTAGGGGTCATCTCATTGAATCCGCCCCCAAACCCCAGGAGGGAGATTCTACGATCAACCCCCACTTAATGGAGAGAGAACTGCAGCTGAGAGAGGTGATGGCACTTACCAGGGCCTTGTAGCTGCAAGTGACCGGAGGAGATGCTAATGCGATCATGGTTTCCCAGGTGTAATGAATGAGTGGAGACCCGGAGGCAAAGGCACTTGCTGGAGGCCAACCCCAGCCCCCCCGCCCGAGGCTGGAGATACCCAACCTGTGGATCGGGGAGAACCTTCCCACCTGCCTCACGCGTTGCCAGGAGGGAGGAGTTCGTTAGAATGTGTTTGTAAAACCTTTAAACAGTGTCCGGCATATAGTAGGTGCTCAACAAGCGGCAGTTAGCTTCATTTCCCCATTCTCTTTGGGGTAGAATTTCTGTCTGGGGGGCGGGCTTGTGTGGGGAGACAGTGATGGATATGAGAGGCAGAGAAGACTTTGGGGTTCCCTTGGGGAGGTGAGACTGCGGCTCAGCAAGGACCCTGAACCCCTTGACCATCCAGAGCTGAGTAACGCAGGATGTCACCTCCACAGAGTCCTGAATGAACAGTTCTCCGAGGCTGTTGCGCGGTGTCCTGACACGTGGCATGGAGCCGTGGGTGTGGGCTCAAGCCCTGGTGGGGAGGCCAGTCCCCTGATTCTTTGCATTTATCTCCTCCACTGGGGTTTCTTGGGGACCCACAACACACCATGTGCTGGGGCTCACGCAGTGAGACAGCAGACACGGTCCCACCCCCTTGGGGCTCGGATTCCAGGGTGCTCTCCCTCCAATGCGCCCCCACCTCCCTCCCAGCGCTGGAGGATGGTGTAGGAGGCTTACCGTCCCAGGAGGAGCCCCCTCCTCACAGCCCCTTCCTGGGAGGCCCCCTCCGCTCCTCACGCCACCAAAGCCTCGGTCTCTTTCTGCTCCCTGCCAGCTCCTAATGAGCTTATATCCTCTTAAACCCACTTGGCACCCACTTAGAGAAAAGATGTGTTGCAATAGAAAAGACTGAGAAGGGAACCAAAAACCAGGGCCTAGACCCAGAAATACCCTCAGACGGAAAGGCACGGAGAACACCACAGCCGAAATCCTTGCCCTCCCCACGGCAGCCGTGTGTTTAGAGCAATGCCTGGCACACAGTAAGTGCTCAGCAAACATGAGTTATTCGCATTAATTGCTGTTCTATATCTTATACTTACATCTACTGCAGGATTTATCACTGTTTTATCTAGAAGAGTGATTTAGTATAGTGATTATTTAAATTGCTGTCTCCCAGGGGAGGCTCTGAATTCTCTGAAAGCAGGGACTCCGAATTATTTATTTCTGCATCCCAAGCGCACACCCAGTAGGCTAGAAACACATGTTTTGTTGTTGTTGTTTGTTTTTTGTATTTTTTTAAAATATACCTTTATTTCAGAGAGAGGAAGAGAGAGATAGAAACATCCATGACGAGAGAGTCATTGATCGGCTGCTTCCTGCACGCCCCTGACTGGGGATTGAGAGCCCACAACCCGGGCATGTGCCCTGATCGGGAATCGAACCCCGATCACCTGGATCCTAGGTTGACGCTCAACCCCTGACCCACGCCCGGCCGGGCGAAACATGTTTTTAAATGAATGGAAGAGTGGGTAGATGAATGGATCGGTGGAGAGTTAGTCGGATGAGTGGGCTGTTACGGTTCAGATGGAGGGAGGGAGGGGTAGGTAGATTGATGGATGGGTGAAGGAATGGATGATGGATGGGTGGGTAGCTTGTGACTTAATGGATGGATGGGTAGGTGGGCTGATGGATGGATTAAAAGATCATGGAGAGATGGGTGGATCGATGGATGAACAGAGAGCTGGTCCCCACGGGAGCGTGAATTCGCGGCTCTTTTTCGCTGACCTGTGCCAGATGCCTGAACCAATGACTGGTACGTAGCAGGTGCTCCGTGCTTAGCTCCCGAAGGAGTGGGGAGGCCTGCGGAGGACTGGCCCGCTCTGCCCTGAGCCACAGCTGAAGTCGGTGCTGCGGCCTGGATGAGGAGGGGCTGTTGCCGCTCAGACGGCCTGTGGGCTGACAGTTGAAGCCCCGTATTGACCGACATTGTCACCAGGCCCCCTGCTGGTGTTGATGGGAAACGTCAGCCAAACAGTTTTCTTTCTCTTGTGATTTCCGTCGTTTCTCTCCTGGCGATGATCCTGAATGTTTACTCTTAAAGCAGCGGTTCTCGGGCCTTTGCGCTCGTAACCATCACCGGAGGGCACCGTGTTACACCTGCAGGTTTCCCCTGACCCAGAGACTCTGGTTGGAGAGGTCAGGCGTCTCTAACCAGGCTGCCAGGTGGCTCTGAATACAGTGCTCCGCCGACCACACTCCCAGGGACCCTGGCAGCGGGTGAGCCACTGCTGGTCACCGGGAGGCTGAGCTCTGTCCAGCTCCGCTGGGTGCTTCGGCCATTGGTTTACTCCCCTCTCTGGACTCTGCGCCGCCCCTTGAACATATTCCAGAACCTTCGGGCCCTGGCTTCTTTCTTACGCCTGTGTCTGTGCCGCTTTGCAGGTGGCAGCCCTGAGCCCTGACCCTTGACCGGATGGAAGCCCGCCAGCTTCTGTTTGCACGAGGTGGACACCCCGAGCTCGGTCCCCAGCTGGGGAGGAAGCCAGAAGCGGCCTGGCCTCGGTGATATAATCCAGCCCCCCGGGCCTGGGGAGCCGAGAAAGGGCCAGAAGCACACTGTAGCTGCTGGGCCTGCAGACCCCTCCTTCGCTTGCTGCTTTCAAAGTTCTCCGGGAGCCCTCGGAGGCCAAGAGCAAGATGTAAGAAAATGGGCCCAACTCCCGGGTGTCCCGAACCTCGAAACTCCTTCTGTGGCCCAAGGAAGCGCACCTCGGCCTCGGGAGGGCTGGCGAGCTGTCCTCTGTTCTCTCGGCCTCAGCCACGTGCTAGACTTGCCCCCCAGCTCTGGTCTTGTCAGAGGGGATAAGACTGAAGACGCCCAGGGGTGCCTTCCCTAGGGGAGCCCCCTGCACCCCCTCCCGCCAGGCCCCAGCGAGCCAGTCCGGAATGATCCCGCTATGGCCAAGCTCTGGTTCAAGTTCCAGCGCTACTTCCGCCGAAAACCTGTGCGTTTCTTTACCTTCCTGGTGCTCTACCTGACGGCCGGCAGCCTTGTCTTCCTCCACTCGGGCTTCGTGGGCCAGCCGGCGGTGTCGCAGGGCCAGG